TTTACTTAAGAAACAATTTGAATGCAGGAGTTTTACTTGTAACTGAGTATTTTTACACTGTTGTTTTGCTACTTTTACTTGAAGTAAAGGAACTGAGTACTTCTTCCACCGCAGCGCTAGAGGTCACCTGGCAGTAAAGTACGACTTTAGCCTTTATACAGGAAGACGGTCTCCCCGTGCTACATCTCGGTCTGTCTGAACAGGAGCCACTCTGCTTTCTGTCTCTGCCTGCTCACCGCCGTGACAGAAGCTCATTGCCGCCTGCAAATAGGAAGTGGAGCAGTTGCCTGATCAGCAGTGGTGTGTCAGGGTGACCTCCAGCTCCACAAGCCAGGGCAGAGCGAGTTCCTGCAGAGAAAGAGAAAGTACATAAAATATGTTAATGTCATAAAAAGTTCCCTGTTACTTTGAGGCCCTGGGCCCCTGGGCACAGACATGTGTACTGCTCCCACCCTCCCAGACAGGAACTTGCTGTTGTGGTTGTTTTGCCACAGTTTTTGGCTGGTTTTCTGTTTTGTTTTTTTTTGTTTTTTGTTAATTTGTTTCTCTTTGTTGTTATTTTTGTATGTGTTTTACTTGTTTTGACTTTGAGGTTGTTTTGTCCTTTGGCATCTCCCAGAGCCTGTGTTGTCTGTTTTCACTCTGTTTTTGTAGTTACTGCCCCAGTGGCCGCTGATCCCTGGGCCCAGTAGGCCCATGGACTGTGCTACTTTGTGGTGTAACCTTTTACTGAACTTGGCAGCATGGAGGATAATACACAACACAGTTTATGAGCAAATATGTTTAATGTTAAACCTGCAGCTGCCAGATAAATGTAGTTCAGGAAACAGAATATTTGCTTCTGAACTGCAGTAACCCACCTCGTACATGAGCACAGAGCGTACGGTGAGCTGTTGCTCGTCTGCCGCAGGCTGAACGCCCAGAGATCACACAGCACATCTTCGCTGTCGGAGGAGTTCTTCGACTTTCTGTCTCACACCTTGATGTAGTCCCAGTCCATCCTCATGTTGAAGCACTATGACCAACTGGTCATCGTTAGTCATCCGCCCAGCAAACGACACTGACGAACCAGCAGGATCAGACTGTCGACAAAACTAATGTCATACGTGTCCTGAAATCGGCAAACAGAAAGGCCACAGATCCAACGTGTTCACACAAAACACAACGCTGCATTGTAATTAAGTAGAAACATTCACCTTCAGATGGTCAACACTTACTGGTGTATTACTGTGAGTGTGTCCTCGTGCTGCTTTATTCTTTTACTCAGCTACATGTCGGAGGAAATGAACAAGATCAAACATCAAAAAATGCAGCGTTCAGTATGTGATATGGAACAAGACACAATAACAACCATGAACCCTTCAGGCCACTGACCAACGGAGGAAACTACAACATACTGAGGGAAGCTCAGTACTCATGTACTCTCTGTCAGTACTGCATTTGTCAGCTGTTTACTCTGAACATGAACACTGACACACACACGCTCGGGGCCGAGTGCCACAGTTTGCCCGGGTCAAGGTGGCCCTCACATGCACACACTTCTCTGTTCTGACAGCCTGAGTTTCAGGTTCTAACTGGGTCTCACTGTTCCTCTGTACACTCACAGTCATGGGTGGACTCAGAGGCCACGGGGTCAGGACACCTCTCTGACACCTCCAGGACTCAGACTGAGAAACCATTTGTTGTCAGTTTGTCTTCTTGTAATTGTTTCACACCATTTGTGTTCACTTTTACTCATTTTATGCCTTTGTCTCTTTTTGTCATCCTGTGTATGTTTGTTGACGTTTTTCTGTGTTTAGGGCCTTTTCTGTCTCAGTGAAGCTGTTTAGCATCGATGATTTTCTCATCTTGTGTTGTTTTGTTGTCATTTGACTTTCCAACAGAAAAGTTAACAGTCCCTCCACGGTTTTCTGGTCTAGGGGCCCGCTGACCCCTCGGGCCCCTGGGCCTTTTGGACCCGTCCACTGAACCATCCATGAATAATCCGAACCTCAAGCTGCAGATTGTGAAACGGGGTCCCAGCGACAGGTCCTGCTTTTGTTCTTCTTGATTTTAATGTTTGTTTTTTACTTTGTACATTTTTAGGAACTTTGTTCTGTGACTGTCAAATCACCACACGGTCTGAGCACATACATACATTTTCACCTGAACCACCTTCAGTTATTAATGTGTGTTCAGTAAGTTAAAAGAGCAGCAGGTTTTTAAATGTCAGAATAGAAAGATAGAGTTAGAAATTGGCCTTGTTAAAGGAAAATGACAGAAACATAAAAAGGTAAATATATTGACAACTGTTAAATGGGTAATTGAGGGGATATGCAAACCATTAACCCATATTTTTAACATGTCGTTACGACTTGGGCAGTTCCCCAATAATATGAAAATAGCAAAGGTTATTCCTCTGTATAAATCTGGTGATAAGCACAACTTCACAAATTATAGACCGGTTTCTCTGTCGTCACAAGTTTCAAAAATTCTGGAAAAACTCTTTAATAACAGATTAGATACATTTATTGACAAACATAAAATCCTCTCTGATTGCCAATA